GCGGGCATTGTTCTTACGGATTGCAATATTGCCACCGTGAGGATCGCAGTGCAGGGGCGCACCATCACCGAAGATCATTTCGTTAAAGATACGCGCTAATGTGGCAGATACTTCATCTCGGTCAATTCCGTTCTTATCCAAATACTCCAGATCGTCGAGTCTGCTTCCCGCTTCGCAAGCCATAACAATAATTCGCTTCTTAGCCCAGATGACTTCGGGGATAATCAGGGGTAACTGTGAAATCTTGGCGAAGTGCTCTTTCATACGTCGGGCATTGTTGGCCTCTTCTTGGAAATCAAGTTCTTTAGGAAGAGAAACATCCATCTCAGAAGAGAGCCACTCAAGATCATATTCGGGAAAGAATCTTTTCAGGGTCGAAAATGTGTACCGGGTAAGCGCCAGATCCAGGGGTGCCCATGCTTCAAGCTCAGGATGTTGAACCTTGACCGCTACCTTCTGATTTGACCCCTTGATGGATGCCAGATGTACCTGAGCAAGAGAGGCAGCGCCAATTGGCTCAGGGGCGAAATCAGAGAAATAGTCCCAAAGCTCTTCTCCTGTATCTTTGCGAAACATATCCTCGATCGACTCAAGTGAAGATACAGGGCACTTGTCCTGCAGGGGAATGAACGTGTTTGTCCATTCGGATGGTAAAAGATAATTCATGGCGCTCTGGCGTGGTGATTAGTCCGATCGCTCGAGCCCCGAAGTTGGTGGAGGTCATACCAGATGCTGGCCGAGTTTGATAAAGATGCCGCCATTCTTTTCCAACACAACGAGGGTCCGTTCAGCGCATCGTTTGTGGCATGCCTTGAGCATACTCTCCTGTGCATCATGGTCCGCTGTCGTTTCTCTGGCGTTCAATGTTGTTCGGTAGCTGCTCATTGTGTTAGTTTCGGACCGCCTACACCCAAGGACGAGTAACCACATACTCGTTGATACACACAGCGAGCGCAACCGCGACTCTTCCTGTACGCTCTGCCGCCTCATAACTACTCTTGATGTCGTCGGTGAATGCAAGCGCGGTCGCGCCTACAGTACCAACACCAGCCGAGGCATATAACAGCGGTCGTTTAGGGCCGGACTTGTGACCATTGCCTTTCCTCGAGCCTCTCCGCGATGCGAACCCCCTTACGCTGAAATCTCGAAGGGGCTTACTTCGGACCAACTGACTTCTACAAGTCGAACAGGTCCATGATCGAGTGGCGATGCGGTTCGCAAAGGCCGAAACGGATAAGGCGTTCATCTGACTGCCGATGGACTTTTAAGAAGGAAAAATGATATGTAGTAAAATAGGATTGTTCATTCTTAGGGAAGAAAAGCTAGCAGGAAAGTAACAGAAACAGGTTGACACCGCAGAGGCCAGGCTTAAGGTAGGTAGGCTTAGTTAGGTAGATCAAGATCATGTCGTCAACCAAAATCAAGTCGACAGTTTTTTTGCTTGGGTGTGCCGATTCCGACAAACCTCCGTCCATCGAGCGCTCGGCTTGGGCCGGGTGCGATATTCGGGGGCGATTTACCTAGCCTAGCAGTATTTTCAAGAGGGGCACTAGCTACGTCATGTGACTGCGCGACCGCGACCGTAACGCGTTTAAGGTCACCCACCTCTTTACACGAGCACGCATCTCGAAAGTCCATCTTAAGTTGAGCTCCCTCCAACATTTACATCGATCGTATGGGTCCTTTTCAATTCATACAGATCGCCAAAACTTCACAGTCAGAAATATGATGTCTTTTTCTCCCGCACCCATTTTCTCCGGTTCTTGGGACCATCGCCCTGCTGTCTCATCGCCCCTCTCTTCTTCACCTGTGCGCGCATCATCGCCACTGTCACCAATTGACAGAAACGTGTGTCCGCAGCGTCAAATTCAATCTTCTCCTATCAAGCCCCCAAAGTTCAAATTTTCTTCGCGTCCCACTCGGCCAAACCCAGTGAACAAGAAGCGGGATGAGCTACACGAAGGAAGACGGAAGATCTTCTTCCAGAATGTGCGACAGAGCCGTGAAGACAAGGCCTGGCAACGTAGAGACATAGAGGGACAGGTAATGAGAGATCTCTTCATACATTATGAATGGCGCTGATTTAATCCCAGTTTCTAAAGACAAATTATCTTGCCGACCGAGGACAGCTGTCTCATGACGCTCCTGACACTACTGAGGCGGATATCGAGGACGCCATGACTTTTTACCAAGAGAAACCTTCCATTCCGGAGCAAGACGAGGATGAAACGATGATGGATGAGGAAGAGCAGCTCGAAGCGATGCTTGCATCCTATGAGGAACAGCAACAGCAGATGGCTTCTTCACAACGGCCACCCTCGCCTCCACTATCAGACGAAGACTATGATGATGTCTTCGCCGAGCTCATAGCGCAAGAACAATTCAAACAGAATAAGCCGCCCCGACCCCAGGACCAGATGGATACTTCTGGAGACATTGAGATGCAATAATGTTCTTTCTTCGTTCTTTCCTTTTACTCTTGCTATTTTTCTATTCAGAAACTTTGCTAGCTTGCTCGTTTGGCGTTGGGGTTAATCGGATCACCCAGGAAGGGGCATGGCGTTCAGGAATTGGCCAGTGGATATCGTCAGATGTGCACGCATATCATTTTGAGAAAGGGTATATATAGATGGCTTGGGGTCAATAACCAAGTTCTCTATCTACTGAGGGTTGCAGGCTTCATCTCCTGGATTGAGGGCATCTTGTGCCGACTGCATGTCTCCAACTAGATCGGAAGGGGGCGATCCTGCTGCTTGCATCTAGACAACTTGTCAGTGATATAGACTTCACCAGTGAGAATAACAGGCAGATGACTCATACCTTTTGCATCTTATCCACAATGAATTCACGGTCCGCCGCATTGGAATCCGAGTACGTCTTCTCTTCGAACTTGGCCACTATCTCTCGTACAATGGACTGTTGCTCCTCGTAGCGCTTCAAGTCATCCTTAGGTGTCGAGTCACGATTCTTGATAAGCCATTCAGGGAATTTCTCGTCGAGTTCCTTCATGGGCTCATATAGAATTTCCTTGTTAGTGAGCTGCTCCATCATGCCCATAAGCATTTTAGAGAATTCTTCCTCGCTCCCGTCGCCTCCCAGATCACCAAGGTCGCCCGAAGACAACTGCTTGAGCATCTCAGACATGAAGTCATCAGCGGATCCCGAGGCAGCAGCAGCTGTAGCTTGGTCCCCCGAAGCTTGCATGCGCTCCATAGTTCGCTTGATAGTATCTTGGAACGATGCATCCTCGGGTGGTGCTTGAGAAGAAGGCCCTTTGGAAGTGTTTGGAGGTGGCGCATCACCAGCACCTTCTGCCGCAGCGATGTGCTTGAAGATATCCTCAAACTGTGCTTGCATGTCAGGCTGTAATCGTATCAGCAATCATGTTCTCGTTTGTTTTGCTAGATGAAATAAAACGCACAGACTGCTCAAGTTCGCCTAGTAGGTCGGCCATACCAGCCTGGAGCTGCCTAGCAAATTCGTCTTCTGAGAACGCATCCTCAACTTCAGGTTGTTTGCCGGAAGCAGAGCCATTGGGAGCTTCTGGTTTAATGGAAGCAGCAGCAGCTCCAAGAGGCTTGGTTTGATCTAGCTTGACGGCAGAGAACTCTTCCAGCATATCTAAGAACAGTCAGCCGGGTTTCTTCGCAGCTCCATGCCTTCTCACGGACCATCTAAATCATCCAAGTCGTCCTCGTCCGGGTCTGGAACCTCGTCCATTTCATCAACAGTTATCGGGGCCTTTGAGGCTGGGGTTGGCAAAGCGTCAGTCTTCTCTGCTACAGCTTCTGTTGTGGCGACTGCTTCTTGGGGGACGGGCTGTTGCGGGGCAGCTTTGGGCGATAAGTCTTGAGGATTAGCATCATCAGGAGCGGTCTCTCCAGCAGAAACCTCGTGTGAAGCAGCATTTTGAGGCTTTGAATCTAAAGAGGGGATCGCTAGACTAGAGGCTGGAGTATGAGTGGTTGGAGCATCAGGCATGAGAGTATGAGATGAGGTAGCAGCATCAGCATCAGTCTCAGCCTCAGTCTTGAGGTCTGTGTTATCCTCATTTTCATCCTTTTTGTCCTCTTTCACCTCATCTTTCACGCCCTCTTTAGGAACCTCTTTGAGCCCCTCCGTGACCTCCTCCTTCAGGGCAACTTCTGTGTCTTTGTCCACGCCCATGATGATATCTGCCTCGTTTCCCGGTACTCGATCGCCCCCACTTCTGCCAAAGGAAGCGGATGAAGTGAGATTAATGATGAAAGTCAGCCACGTTCAGGCAATGCCTTATAAAAAAGGACAACGATGGCAGAAGGTCAATAGAGGGAAGTTTGGTGATGTAGGGACCAAGCCGTAAATAATTTTATACCTTGGTACGGAGTACGTGGGCAATCTAAGGGATCGATGCCCACCCGCTTCCAGCTTAACTTAATGACTGAGCCGAGGTGACCTATGATGCGGCGCTAGCAGGTTCGCACCTCAAGCGGGTTGCCTTCCATTTGATTAACAAGTGCCCCTCACCAAGGTACCTAAAGGATTCAGAAGGTCAACAAGCCGCAACAGCGCGATCAACCCCCGGACTAGGCGTGAGGCCCTGGGTATTTAGGTGACCACTTAGCGGGGTTTATCCATGCCCCCCCAACTGGCGTCTTTTCAACCAACGACAACAGGTTCTGGCCTGTGCATCGAATCATCAACAAGACGTCGTTTCGTGAATCGTACCTCGGGCACGATTGCGCAAACGATAGGTCCCGCCTTCGAGCTGACTTTCGATTTGTTTCTTTTCGTGTCAGATATATATTTTCACTCTGAAGCATTTTCATCACCCAGCAACCCGAAAGCTTAGCCGTTGGAGCTGTGCAAGGCCAGTCACTGTTTCTTCTGCCGCAACTCGCGTCGCACCCAGCTTTCCGATCTCACGCGATTCTCGACAATCCTTTCTTCTCATATTCTTTCGCCTGCAAACCTTGCCACCCTCGTCCCACCTCTGGTAGCCATCGTTGAACGACGGGATCATGGCGCTTTGCCAGAACCGATTACAAGAGGAGAGGTGAGATTTGTAATGCACAGTCCACGGACTTGACTGAAATCTCAATAGGAAGCAGTGGCGACGAGACCATCCTTTCGGGTTCTATGCCAAGCCACAGCGTACTAAAGAAGGTGTACTCGATGTCAAAAATTGGGAATGCGGAATCCCTGGCAAAGACAACACAATTTGGTCTGGCGGACTCTTCAAGCTGACCATTGCTTTCCCTGATGGTAAGTTCCTACACCACACGATATTGATTGGACGGCGCTAATACTTGTTCAACATAGAGTACCCTACAAAGCCTCCCAAGTGTAATGCCCTCTCGACCACGATGTGTGAAGGCCGCCTTGCTAATATAAACATAGGCAAATTTGTCCCCCCGCTGTTCCACCCCAATGTGTACCCTTCAGGAACTGTCTGCCTGTCCATTCTCAACGAAGAGGAGGCCTGGAAGCCTGCGATTACCGTCAAACAAATACTTCTCGGTATCCAGGACCTTCTCAACGACCCCAACCCCGAGTCACCTGCCCAAGCAGAGGCATACAATCTCTTCAAGAGAGATCGTGCCGAGTACGAGAAGCGAGTTCGCCGTACGGTTCGCGAGAACCCCACACCTTAATGAAACGTTCGGAGGCGTTGAGAAAGAAGAGACCTTTTAGACCAAAATTTTCTTTGTAAGGCACCTCAGGCTACGGCGTTTATAGGGAAATACCAAGGCGGAAAGTTACTCAGAGTCTATGGAGTAGACTCTACGCATTACGGAAGCATGCTATATATCATAGTATGATAAGAAGAGCTTGACAATACAGCAGGAGATAGGTTCTAGCGCAACGTCATCAAAATCCTTTTTATACTGGGGAACGAGTAGGCTGTTCGCTACGATAGTGCGCTTTTTTGAAATTCGCTAAAGTCTTCTTTTCGTAAAGAAACCATTTGTCTCGGGACTGTCGAAGAGCCACCACCCTTGTCGATCCGTATTTCTTGGGTCTTCACCGGCGAGTGAATCACTTGCGGCTGCGTTGTCGGGATATGCCCGACCCACTCGGTTACGTCGTGTTGTCTCGCGTGTGAAGCTGTCGTCGGAAAGGTTTGATGGGGAGTTGATATGTGAAAGCTAGAGTAATGTAGGTGATGGGGCTGCCTTATGTATGTTTTGGAGAGCAGTTTCTTCTTTTGAATAAAGGATTTCGTGTGTCCTGATGTATATACGTTGATCTTCATCATCAGTGACATATTCATAAGGTAAGGTAGTTTCTAATATTAACTTCATCAGAGCCTGTTAACTTTGGTCTTGTGACGTGACAATCAAGAGCCGCATGTAAGCTGTGCATGTTCCCCTTATCAAGTACTAACATAAGTCAAAGTTTATTCAGATTATGTAAACTGGGCCGGGAACGGGGATGAACTACTTCCTGCTGCCAATTAAGTCTGCTGAATTACAAGCCGAAATCGGCCGGGAGATTTACTCACACCTCAAAAATATTTTGGCCTGGCTTGGCTTGACATGATTGTGCCGGAGAAGCGCAAAGCCGTTATCTATCAGTGGACATATTCTTCCGTCCACTTACAAGCGAGGAAGATGGAGACTTGATCTCAGTTGAAGTAAACGAGTTGAGCTGTCAAGATCCTCACAGCACAAATGAATTGGCCCGGCAGCTTCACTCATGCTGGCAGGCTGGTCACTATGGTAGTGGGGAGATGCTCATCCGCGTCCGCAGCGGAGCAGTTGGTGGATAACCTTAACAAGTTGAAGACTTCCATATGATTTGTATCGGCCACGGCCGTTAACCGCTAATAACCCTTGCGGCTTTGATGTCTTGGTACTATCTGTTCTGGTACCCATGGAGGGTAGGTATCTTAGTACTTATCGCCTGTTCTGTGCCGGCGGAAGGAGTGTGGAGTTTCTTATGACTCCTCTTTTTTCTCTCGCCCGAACTAGGTATTGCTAAATATTAATCTTGCCTCGCCCTTTCTCTTCCTCCTACCATCCTTCTTCAAGCACTCCCCTTCGTGATACACACATAACGCGCGCATTTCCCAGCAACCGCTAACATGTGTGGTATCTTCGCCTGTCATCGGTACGCTCCCTTCCTTGCGAAATTGAACATGGATCCGTTTTGGTGGTTTGGAGGGGCATGAGGACCCCGCCATTAATTGGGATTGCAATTGAAATCACCCCGCGGTCGGAGGAGGAAAAGGAGAATCATGGCATCACTAACATTTTGCGTCCCTGCAGTCATCCTGACGTGGAAAAGTTCAAGCCCACGGCCTTGAAGCTTGCAAAGCAGTATGTATCACACTGGTCGACCAAGGCACAGCCCTTCAAATTAACCTGAATTATGCAGAATCCGTCACCGTGGCCCCGACTGGAGTAAGTAAAATCAACACCAATGCAGCAGCTCTCGCGGTCGCAAGTACTAAAGTAGAATGTTCAGGTGGAAGCGTGATTGCCAACCATACTAGTAAGCCCAATTGACTCTCAAAGCACAAAAGCTTCTGGTTCTGACCCTCTTGTTTAGTTCTCTGCCATGAGCGTCTCAGCATTGTCGGTGTTGGTGAGTCAAAAGTCTTGCATCTAGACGCCAGCTTTAGCTAACGGTTATTCCTCCAGAGTCTGGAGCCCAGCCCCTGACCAACGCGGACGACAGCATCATCCTTGCTGTCAACGGTGAGATCTACAACCATCGTCACATTCGAAAGAACCTCAAGGAGCAATACCACTTCAAGACCACATCTGATTGCGAAGTTATCATTCCCTTGGTAAGAGGACTAATTCACAGATAGCTTAAGGAAGAATAACAGGCTCACAATGGATTTCCTGCAGTACACCGAGTTTGATACCGATTGCCCAAACCACCTCGATGGCATGTTCTCTTTTGTCCTCTACGACAAGAAGCAAGATCGTACAATTGCGGCCCGCGACCCTATTGGTATCACCACCTTCTACCAGGGCTGGTCCTCCAAGGAACCCGGAACTGTATACTTCGCCTCCGAGCTTAAGTGCTTGCATAGCGTTTGTGACAAGATCGTTGCCTTCCCCCCCGGCCACGTTTACGACTCCAAGACTGGCGAGACGACTCGCTACTTTAACCCTTCTTGGTGGGACCCTAAGAAGGTTCCCAGCAACCCCGTCGATTACAAGGTTCTCCGACATGCTCTCGAGAAAGCTGTCCGAAAGCGACTGATGGCTGAAGTCCCCTTCGGAGTTCTCCTTTCTGGTGGCCTTGACTCGAGTCTGACAGCATCTATCGCTCAGCGTGAGGTGACCAGACTTAGAAAACAGGCCCTGGAGGCTAACGGCAACGTTCTCCCTGTCGAAAACCCTGACACTGGTGAGGGCCTCGTTGGCGTTGACGATGACGATCACCTCGATACTCTGACATACCTCCCCCAGCTCAACTCCTTCTCCATCGGATTGCCTGGTTCTCCGGACAACAAGGCCGCACTTGAGGTCGCCAAGTTCCTTGGTACCAAGCATCACGTCATGACCTTCACCATCGAGGATGGCCTCAACGCTCTTTCAGATGTTATCTTTCACCTTGAGACCTACGATGTCACTACCATCCGAGCCTCCACCCCCATGTATCTCTTGTCACGAAAGATCAAGGCTATGGGTATCAAGATGGTTCTGAGTGGAGAGGGAAGTGACGAGATCTTCGGTGGCTACCTGTATTTCCACGCTGCCCCTGATAAGGAGGCTTTCCACGAGGAGACAGTTCGCCGTGTTAAGAACCTGCACTTGGCTGATTGCCTGCGAGCTAACAAGTCCACTTCTGCTTGGGGCCTTGAAGCTCGTGTTCCCTTCCTCGATAAGGAGGTAAGTTCAGCTCTATTGCATTAGTTGTTCCCCAGAAACTAAGAGTGATAATAGTTCCTTGAAACATCGATGAACATCGATCCTCAAGAGAAGATGATCACCAAGGACAGACTTGAGAAGTACATCATTCGCAAGGCTTTCGACACCTCGGACGAGCCTGACGAACAGCCCTATCTCCCTGATAACATCCTCTGGCGACAGAAGGAACAGTTCTCTGATGGTGTCGGCTACGGTTGGATCGATGCTCTCAAGGACAATGCCGAGAAGCAGGTGACAGACGAGATGATGAAGAACCCCAAGCCTGAGTGGGGTAACGATGTCCCCGATACCAAGGAGGCGTATGTTGATACCGGTTTCGTGCAGTTGGATGAGACTAACAATGAATAGTTACTGGTATCGATGCATGTTTGATGAGCACTTCCCCCCTCACTGCGCGTCGACCGTCATGCGCTGGACTCCCACTTGGTCCAAGCAGACTGACCCCAGTGGCCGGTACGTAAATTCTCTAACCCCAGAGCTGGATGGTCGGTGGCCCGAAAGGAAACACGCTTGCTAATGTCTAGTTGCAGAGCCATTTCCACTCACAACGCCAAATATGATAACGCGGCTTAATGATATAGCGAATCGAGCAAACATCAAGCACAGCAAGCTTGCTTGCCTCATTGTAACTTACACTACCATACAAGAGATGTCTGACCTAAAGGAGTATGAAGTGTATGTCTTGGGTGTTGTTCTCCTGGAAGAAGAGAAAAGGCGTCTTGGATCTTGCTTACCAACAAACCTCGGAATGATGATGGGAAAAGGTACGGAAAGATAGGGACTTGGGAAAGAAAATAAAAGACAAAAGTTCTAGAAACAAGGGATCGCATCGTTTGCGTAGGTAGTTCAAGCGTCGGTGAATGGTCGGTTTCACAGCAGTTTGAAACTGGCAGCAGGTGCAATGTGTCGTCCTAATTTGTCTATGCATGAAGGGTCCTGACGTGAAATGGTTGGAAAGAGGGTGTGGCCAACGGACCAATAGATGAGAATGAAGCCGGACATGGACACGTCGAGTTCGGCCTTCAATTTACGGGTTTATCAGACAACTTCTTTAACTTCTTTGGTATACCTCAGGAAGTACCTCAACCTCCTTGCATTTTACCAAACTGGGTCTGAGGTGTTGTTTCAGCTGCTAGTAGTGGTCAGTCAGTGATGGAGTCACATGAGTTGTTAGTTGTTAGTCTCTGAGCTGTTCATGCGTTGACAACATGCAAACTGAATAAGGGATATCCATGGATGGACATGACGATGAAGGACTTGTTGGGCATCGAGATGATTGCACCCAATGGCATCTGTAATGAAGCCTGAAATCGGGAGGATCAGGCAATAACTACCAACCTAGGTCGTGGAGGGATTTGAGGCTGCGATCATGGATGGTCTGTCTGGTCTGTCACTCGGGAAATGGATGTGGCCTATCATCCAATTGACTTTCTCTCCCTCCTCTTGACCAACTCGCTTCTCGCTTCTCGCTTCGTTGCCATCGTTCATTACCCCTCCACGTGGGCCCTGGCTCTGGGGGATATTGCTTAAATTAATTACATGATCTCCAGCTAAAGGCTGCCTTTTTATCACCCGGCCAAGTGACAATGTGACACAGTCCCGACATCAGCCGACTTGGGCTACCCATGTGCAAATTCCTTGCTATGCGCCGCACAGGGCGTTTTCAGAGCCTAGCACACAAGAGCTTCCCTAGCTGTGGGCTGAGCCCGAGCTGCTTCCAGCGGGGTTCCCCAACAAGAAAACCCTGTGTAGGAGATCGGCCCTGTGTGAGTCTTGGATCCCAAGTATTTTCTGCTAGGTAAGGTACCTAGGCTCCATCATCTCCCTCCCACTCTCCTACCTACCCCGTTCGTTTCTCTCACATCTCTGTCGAAATTCCAACTTCACTTTCATCACAACTTTCCTTTGAGACTTATATCTTCCGATACCATCCACCGCAACTATGTCTGTCCCTGCCTTCTCCGACATTGCCAAGCCGGCCAACGATGTATGCTCCTGTCTCCCCTCCGTCGTCTCGACATCTCTCATTTCGTTGTTTTGATTCCTTGGGCTTTGACAATATTGAGAATTGAGCTGTTCATTTTTCGCTCTTTCGGAACTTATATCATGGAGTGAATTGGAGCATCAGCCGCCAGACCTCCCATTGCATCGATCTGCTCTGCATGACCAGATGTTACTACAAATTCTTGACGTTGATGAGCTCTGCTAACTCTTGCGCCGTTTATAGCTCCTCAACAAGGATTTCTACCATCTCTCTGCCACGACCTTCGAGTTCAAGGACACCGCCCCCAATGGTGTTGCTTTCAAGGTTACCGGCAAGTCGAGCCACGAGAAGGCTACCTCTGCTGCTGTAAGCATTCCCACTTCCGCAAACTCAATGGCAAGCCGTTGTTCCTCGGGGGTTCGGAAGCTAGTGTTCGGTCAACCGCGGCTTTTGGTGCTGTTGACCAACTCGATTCACATCTTCATCACAAACGAGCTCTTATCGAAACGAGAAAACGGCCTTGCTTTTGGGATGGATTTTTTCTCTGCCTTCGGGTTACTGACTTTAGTCTTCAGATTGAGGGAAAATACACCGACAAGCCCACCGGTACGACATCATCATCTTTTTCTTCAACACCTTCTTCGCTTTCACCATCTCTGTCTCCACCACCCAAACCCAAACTCCGCCGCAAACAGAATCCCCCCTCTCTCAGCGTCTCGCGAATCCTCGGGCATAACTCAGGCTGCCCGGTCGGATTTGCGACGTTTCTCCAACCTGGCTATGCTCAGCTGCTAATATTCTATTCCCGCACAGGCCTGACCCTTACCCAGACCTGGAACACCGCCAATGCTCTCGACACCAAGATCGAGGTCGCCGACTCCCTCGCCAAGGGCCTCAAGCTTGAGGGTCTCTTCAACTTCCTCCCTGCTACCGCCGCTAAGGGAGCCAAGTTCAACCTCCATTTTAAGCAACCCGGTTTCCACGGCCGTGCCTTCTTCGATCTCCTCAAGGGCCCTGTTGCCAACGTCGACGCCGTTGTCGGCCACGAGGGTTTCCTGGCTGGTGCCTCCGCTGGCTATGATGCTAACAAGGCTGCTCTGACCGCCTACAGCGCTGCTGTTGGCTACGCTGCTCCCCAGTACAGCGCTGCCATCACCGCTTCTGATAACCTCAGCGTCTTCGCTGCCTCTTACTACCACAAGGTCAACTCACAGGTCGAGGCTGGTGCCAAGGCTACCTGGAACTCAAAGACCGGCAACGCTGTCGGCCTTGAGGTTGCCAGCAAGTACCGCATCGACCCGGTCTCCTTCACCAAGGTTCGTACAACCAAATTCGGGGTGCTGTGGAAATGCGTGACTGACTCGGACTCCAAAACATAGGTCAAGATCAACGACCGTGGTATTGCTGCCCTTGCCTACAACGTCCTCCTCCGAGAGGGCGTCACCCTGGGTCTTGGCGGCTCTTTCGACACCCAGAAGCTCGACCAGGCTACCCACAAGCTTGGTGCTAGCTTCACCTTCGAGGGCTAAATTTCTCTCAGAAGCATCGAATATCCCGATAGCAGAGAGCCTTCGTTAAAAAGATCCGCTCCAGAGCTGTTCTCCCCTCAGCAGCTCCTCGTACCTTTCAGGCTTGCATTGCGGTGGTCTCCGGGGATGTAGATTATGTTAAATAAAAAATCTCGAAGATGATACCATGGCAAGTTGTTTCTCGTATAGCCAAGGAATAGATTCCATCTATGAAGTGTTTTGAAGTAATGAGACCGTTTAAAATCTAGGGATGAGGAACGCAAAGCCTCATAATGACGCTTATTCTTCGGGAAAAACGCCCAGTCTTCCTGTCTGTGTGTATCCCTACTCAGGTCTTGTTCTTTTTGCGCTGCCCAATGCTCATGAACTGAATATATATAAGAGGCGCCAATATCGCAGTGGCGAGGATGCCCGATATTATGATAAAATGGCCTGTGGTGGTTGTCTGAGCCTCAAAGCCAATGTCATCGTCGCCCATTGCGCTCCTTTGCCTCCTATCTTTGCGCCGTTGGTCCTCTCTTCGATGTGTTCGTGTATGCCCCGCCTTGTCAAAGTGAGGAACATCATTCTGATGTCCAAAAGGGTCATCTCCAGGTCCCATTCCCCCATGGGTAGACTCGTGACTAAAAGGATCACCCCATGGGCTCCTCTGGCGACTATGCGATCCGCCTTGTTCATGTGCCGATGTGTTTCCACCGCCTGTACTCTCTTCATGAGCCTTGCGCCGCTTATCTGCCTGTTCTCCCCAGCCTCCGCTGCGGTAAAAGCTGGGCGGCGGACCGCGAAAAGTGCCTCTCCTGCGACTCAAACCTGACGGTGCGCGACCGCCAGGCTGATGAGAGTGGTAAGAGCCACGATGGGAGTGAGTTTGTGGTGGGTGGTGGTGCAAACGAAGGACATCGCGATCGTAGGCTGCTCGACGAGCCTTGTCAGACAGAACAGTATATGATTCGGAGATCAGGGAGAACGTCGAAGATGCGGTTGGATCAGATGGATTTGCATCGGGATGGTGGGTTTTTGAAAGAGAATAGAAAGACCTGGACTGTCAGCTTTCCGCGCTCCACAAGCGTCACAGGTAGGGGCAATACTTTTTAATTTCAGCAGGTGTTGCATCGTGCCTTATATTAAGCCTCTCGTAGTGATTCTTATGCGCGACCTCATCATGCCGCCCTCTTCGATGCTGAGCTCGCAACCCAATTGCGACGATGTTTGATGTCCGACACCGGAGCAGTTTATTGCTACATGTTGAAAGAATTGGCGCGGGGCGTAGGCTACAGAGGGACGAGGGACGCAACGGCATGCCGCATTACGGCCGAGGAAAGAGAATAACGAGGTAGGAAGGGTAGAGGAGAAATTAGAGGAGCTCCTTAGAAGTGTTGCAGAAGATTCGCGTAAGTGAGTGGGAGGCGTTCCTAGGTACTAACGTTCTTATTTTCGATGATGTAATCTCTGGAGGTAAATAGCATGCGTCAGGCGGGGTGATGCGCGTAGCGGGATGATTGATAGTAACCTGGGGGTGCCTTTGAGCGTGTTCATAGCTCAATGGTGACATCAAGATGCTGCAGGATAGAGTGCTTCTCAATCGACGTTGACTTTATATATTTCATTTCAGCAGCACATGTTTCAACTTTGATGCGATGGGAAACCTACGCACACTGCTCTCCCAATATCATAAGGCAATTCGGCATAGCCTTGACGTAGACTTGCTTTAAGGAAACGTAGGTAGGAACTAATGTTGGAAGAAGAAAAGGTCATTGCTGCAAGTATTTCGTATACCAATAAAAACAAACCAGACACTTGTTACACTAAGGTAGCCCATTAAAACACCATTAGCCCATAGCTGTACCCGATCAAGAAAGCCTGTAGATCAATGGCCAAATTTCCACCACGTTGTCTTTTTCTTGGGAGCCTCAACTTCCTCACCCTTGGGGCGCCTCAAGGGATGAGCCTCAGTGTTGAGCACCCACTCATCCAAGTTGATAACGCTGGGATCATCAAATGTGAGATAGAAGTACTTGATTGTTTCTGACATCCAGAATGTCTAGTGAAAGTTAGTGTTGGCCAATGATTTGAGAGCGAGCGCGACCTACCTCCATGTTATCACGCTTGTCGCTACCCTTCCTGTTAACGTCACTAATTGTAGCAAAAGCTTCTTGGGTCTCGGTCTGCTTGACGATGCCCTCCCACATGCGCCAAGCAGCAGTACGCCAGACATCGTCGCCTGTGATGCGCCACATGTAAAACACGCTCTCGATGGCCTCGGGGCGCAGGCGGTATTCCGAGTTTCTAACTCGAATGAAACCCTCGGGGAGCTTATCCTTCTTCTCGACAGGCTTGTCACTCCAGCGGCACTTGCTGGTGATGGACTCACAAGCTTCAAGCTGAGCGATTTCGGGCATAATATTGGTGGGGAACGCATCGTATGCCCAGACACAGCCAGCGGTGAGACGAGAGCCGAGATCAACAAAGTCGCTCCGAGAAAGGAGTTTGCCAGCCAGAGCATACGTACCACCGACAAAGCATGTCAAATGCTGCATCTCAGCGGTTAGCTCAGGCTTACTACCCTCTTCGCCCACCAAAACATTGCCAGACATCAGGATATCCAAGTCCTCAGGGTTACGAGGCTTATATAGAATATGCTTGACAGCGGTATCAAGTGCCTTGGTGGTCATTTCGACATATTCAGAATCCAGGCCACCCAACAAAGCATGCATCTTGGGCAGATATTCGTAGAGCGAATCTGCACCAGCGCCGAGGGTAAAGCGAGCTTCGTCAACTTTCTCATCGCGGTAGTTCATAACATGGGGCCACAAGCCAGGAATTTTGGTCTTGTCCTGGTTGCGGTAGAAGAACTGCTTAATGCGCTCAGTAGCATCGTAGTACTTGGGGTTGCCAGTGATCTGGGACAGTCGGGTAAACTCGAGGCACATTGAGCCTCCAGCAGCACCAGACATGGAGGCGTCCGCCTGCTGGGAGCCACTCTTGGCAGCCTTGAAATAGAGCCAGTGGGATGGCAATCGATTGGGAGTATCAAACGCCGCGTAAAGCATTTCGCCTAGCTCAATGGCCTTGCCGAGCAGGACAGCTTCGTCAGAGAGCTCGTAGGCGGAGAGGAGGCCGCCGAGATGACGGATAGCCACCTCGAACAGATTGAGGTAGTCGTCGCCAGTCCGCGACCAATCGATCATGGCGACAACATTGACCGCTTCCCTGAATTCATCCTTCATATCAAGAATCCACAAAGTATCGAGGGCATCGACGATTTGGGCAGCCCAACCAGAAAATGTCGTCTTTCCACGGAGGGTGACGGGTGCGAGCTCATCCCAGCCCCACGCATGCTTCTTGTAAGCTTCCCAGCTCTTGGTAAATGCTTGCTTGATGGCTGCTTTCCTAGCCGTGGTTTCGCTGTCTTCTTTATAGTCTTCGGTGCGCTCTTTCTGGACTCGTGGCAGTAGTTTAAACGTGCCGTTCGGTGGGCTCTTGATATCCTCAACTGGGTGGAAGATCTGTTGCTTGCTCCAGTCGTAGCTACTCGGAAGATAGTTGTATGTGCCAATTCTCACAGTACGATAGCGCTCGTAGGGGCGAAAGTTATGGATCAGGAACCATGTGATAGCGATGAAGAGAAAGAGGCTAACATAGCGACGACCTGGTCGTCCCTGAAATGTGGCTAACATGGTTATGATATGTGCATTACGGGGTGAAACGATTAGATGTCGAAATGATGTAGTTATCTCAACTGTTTAAAGGCAGACAGATAGGTGAAGAATAATTGGACCAAAGGAGCGACGTGAAGGGCGAACTAAGCATGAAGTAGAAAGCGAGCAATGGAAGCACCGCGTAGCGAACGTTAGGGAGGGAGAAGGAAAGAAGGAAGAGTCAAGGTAAGGTAGGTAATTTGCATGAGAAATATGTCATGTCACCTATCGACCTAAGTAGTAGTAATCAACCACAGTTCCAACCGACCTTGAGCTGCCTTAGGTAAAGTACCTACCTTGGGTAGGGAATGTCTTGTATCTCACTAAATAGATGTGCGGCGCAAGCGTGGAGGCTCGATAGAGAGACAAGAAGAGTAAGGGAGTGGCACTGGTCTTCCAGCTGTTAGTGGAAGCCAAGTCCGCCAATTCCAAGGGAGGAGGGGGGGTTACATATGCGCCTATAAGGGGGGAGGCTTGCGTTAGCTGTTTATAGCTTGTAGGTAAGGTCCTTAATGAGACACATACTACATAGGTAGGTACATACAACAAATCCTGAAAAATTCTCCAACTATAGCCTTATCGTGCTCACAATCGCTACCGTATGTAGCAATTCTCAATTGAATTCAAGGTCCATCCATACCTTAGACGCCCTGCCGTGTCTGCCCGTTGACAACAATCTACGACAAAGCCTGCCTGCCCCGACGGGACGGGACTGGGGGCAGGAGTGCGATCTCATAAGTACCCTTGTACCCAGGTAGATATCGGGATTTGGTGTAAAAGTCCAGGCCCCAATGGTTTGTCCCCCACCACAGCCGTTCACACTTGACAAGCAGGTCCGGATACTACAGACATTAACGTAAATCACAAGCCCCTGGGCCGTGACCCAATCTGTTTCCCCTGTACATAGAGTACTAGGTATTGGATGGCTGAACTGTCTCACACATCTGATTTTTCTATGGCTCTCCTCTTTAGAAGAGCAATGGTCCAGAAGAAAGCAACTTCCAATGTCCACATATGATATTGGCATACCTTAGGTATTTTGCGCACAGTAGGTTTCTGATTGAAGCCACAGTGGAGTGTCAACCTGGAATATGTCACCTTGTTCAGAAAGCCCATGGGATGCTTTTTTTCACATTCCATGAGCCATTCCTTGCCTCACAAGAACTCACCCCCCATATTGAAGACACTTATTCCTGCATGGGATGTTGAAGATCAAAAGAACGGCTCAAGTTTGTTATCTAGTTATCTGGTAAAGACTGACCAAGGCCAACTCAGAATTTCAACGTAGGGTGCGTGCCAAAACACCAAACAAGTGAGTGGTCCACGAGTTCTTCGATGTAGGGGTTTGCCAGTACGATATACATGGCGTTTCTTCCAACATCTCATCTTGTATGACGATATCTGATGGTAGTCTTTCCTTGCTGCCCACTTCTCAATAACACTTCTAATCACCACGTACGTCCCTTGACCCTTCCACTATTGCACTGCTCTCTCGAGATCAAGCAATCTGCACCTGCCGGGCCTACTGCGACCTTGTAAAGGCCGCCGTAGGTTGAGCCTCTGGCAATGCAAATCCTGTGTCTTTGGCCTGGCCTATCTAGCCGAGCGTCACCCATGAAACGGGCACGGCACGGTCTCCACAGAAATGGGCAGGTCTTTGAGGTGTCAGCCTTGCTGGGAAGACTTCACAGGAAGACAACAATGTGAACCGCCCTCCACGCTCAATGATCCGGCGGTGCTGACAAGTCGTGCAGCAGAGACCTCGGGATGCAAAATTGGAATCATCTACCCGTAGTGCTCATGCTGTCCTTCAGTCGTAGCCTCCTCCAATCTGACTATGAAATGCCGTGCTGACACTCTTCTCGTCATCGTCAAAGCGTCGTCCATACCCATTGCCCGGAACCATGCGTCCATTGCTCTCAACATACTGTTTGAGCCGATCACTTTGGCTATAGGAGACAGGCCGCATGCCTGTGACAGCGTCGTGGAGCCCCGCTCCAAGACTAACACCGCCCTGACCAACCCCTTTACCTCCGATGACACTAGAAGATGCATCCGTATATTCGGAGTTGGCCACACTCTCCCCTGCAATGCTTTCCGTAGCACGTCCGCGGCTCTTCCCGCCTCGGCCTGGGGCAGTGACCCCTGGAAGTCCAGGCCATTGATCAGGAGTGAAGCTCGAGAACATGGGGGGGAATGCGCTGCTAAGAGAGGCACCTCCAAATGCAGAGCCATGAACGGAAGACACATCGTCGGGGATGTAGGAGACCATGGAGCCTGCATCAAAGTCTCGGCCAGATGGAGGTGGGTTGAAGCGCCCTCCATTGGAATAGCTGCCGGCTCCGAACTGGGGTTGCTGATTCTTTTGACGATAGCTGACCTTGGGCCGGCTGAACTGGAGCAAGCATGCCTGCAGATTGGTCAACGGACCTTCGACGAAGCATTTGCGATCCTTGAAGTGGACAAGAAGATTGTGCCAAAGCTCGTGTTTGGACAGGACCTTGGGGTTGCCCAGAATGACGAGGCCATACTTGGCTCGAGTCAAGGCCACGTTCAAACGACGAGGGTCAGACAAAAACCCAATGCCTTGATTGTCGTTGGATCGAACACAGGATAGAACAATAAAATCCTTCTCACGGCCTTGGAACGCATCAACCGATGCGACCTCGACTTCCTTATAGTATTCCTTCTTGTAGGTTCCTGAATTCTGCATAGTAGTCACTATGTAGCTTCGCTGGCCTTCATATGGAGTGATAACGCCAATGTCAGCGGGCTTAACGCCGGCCTTAAAGAATCGAGTGACCGCCTTCTCAACATTAGATGCTTCCGTGCGGTTGAGGTATGAAGTTCCAGAGGCAGAAATCTCCTCGTGGCCCAGGTTAGACCAGAACATCATGGGCATCTCTGCGACGGGCCAAGGGAAGTCGACGTCCTTTCGAAGGCGATTCTCATGAGTGACACCGTTCTGCAAACTACCATCATAGAACATGTTGGAAGGGAACTCGGACAGGCAAGGGTGCATTCGGTATTGAATGTTGAGCCGGATAGGCGACAATTTCAGGTTGACCAAGCGCTCGAAAAGCGACTGGTTAAGGCCAGCCTTGGCCGCCTTCTTGTTCATAATAACAGGGCCAAGTTGCTTGTGATCACCAACGAGGACGACCTGCTTACATCCAAGAACAAGAGGGATCATGCACTCAGGCTCCGCCGACTGAGTCGATTCATCAATCAGAACATTTCGGAACTTCATCTTCGAAAGACGAGGGTCGCCAGCTCCCACACATGTGCAGCAGACGACGTCAGCGTTGTTGAGGATGTCTCGCTCAGCGATCTTGGTAAGCTGTTTGTACTTCTTCTCATCCTGGCTAGACAGCTCGCCAAGCTCGTTCTTCAGCTGGGAAAGTTTGACAAGCTCGCTGTTGTGCTCTGACATGCGCACCTGCTCATGAAGAGCTAAGAAACTGACAGATGATTCGACATCTTCGCGAGATTTGGCTGTGAGACGAACAACCTTGAGTCCTGTACGGTGAACACGCTCGCAGAGTTGATCGACGGCGACGTTGGAAGGCGCACATACAAGGACCTGGTTTCCGCTCATCTTGGCTAAGTGGTAAATGATGGTAGCCGACGTGACAGTCTTGCCAGTTCCAGGAGGACCTTGAATCAAGCTCAGAGGCTTTTGAAGAACTGCCTTGATGGCACCAACTTGACTTGGATTGAGATCAGGGAGACCAGGGGCAGACCACTTCTTAGGCAGGTTTGTCTTCATGACCTGTAGCTGGACCTCATGGCCAAGCAATGTGTGGAAAATGTAACCAGACACACTCATATCATCGACAGCAAATGTCTTCATTGCCAACTGCATGCGGTCGTAGGAAGTAGCTTTCCAAACGTAGTCTGCTGAGAAGTTGTGAGATAAGTCAGTGGGCACAAGTTTTTCGTTTCCAGTCTTGCGCAACTCTAGGGTGACCTCATCAGACTGGTTATTCGGGATCTTGATGACATAACCGACCCCTTCCCAAGGAGATCGCAGCTCGCCCTTGTAACGCAGGCGCATTTCATCACCAACAGCAAGTTTAACATCTCCGGATTCGATTTTGTGGAGGTTGAAGCTGACCAGATGCTTATTGTTCAAACCGTAGTCCCAGCGCACGAGGAGCCCATCTTCTGATTGCGCTTCCTTTAGTTTCTTGTCGTAGTCGGATTCCATTTTGACCAGAGGTCCAAAAATGTTTTGGTAGTGATAAGGATCGTCATAGTTTAGCAAGACAGGTTGAGGGTCGTCATCAATACTAGCTGCCTTCTCAAGATCAACCACTGTCGCCTTAGGCTCGATCTTCCACATCTCCTCCAATTTGGCAATCATATTGGGCGTAAGGTGGCGGGCTCGGAGCTGTTCGGAGTCGGAGGGGGTCGCGACAAGCCAAGGCAGAAAAGCTCGTTCTTCAATGAGGGGTTGCCATCGTGATGTATCCCAGTTCATGTCCTTGTTGGAGGTATTGGCGGCGCAAGGCTGGCGGCAGAGGAGGACGACAACAGTATCGGACTTTGCTGGAATAAAGCCCAGGAGAAAAGCATTTTTGGTTCCGCAGTTATAGCATTCGAGTACAGTATCACCCAGCGTAGACTCAGGGTGGAGTTGAACCTCTTTATGGCGAGCTCGAACAAGATGATTCACAATGTGGGTCGAGGTGCCGTTGCCTCTCGCACTACAAAACCATTTATTGCAGGTAAGACATTTGACAACACATCCTGGGGAGTGAATACCGCAATAACTAAAACCATGTCAGCCAGATCCAAATATCAAGGCAATAGATAAAACCTACGCGCAGGCATGGGCTGGGAGTTCTTTCTCTTCATCCTGGCCTTTTAGTTTGAGTCCCGTCAGTCCGTCGATCGGGACACTGTTGAGACTATCATTGTCGTCTTCTTCAAAAACCTCGGTCTGGTTATCATCATCATCGGCTCGGCGGCGGCCATTACGATCTTCATATTTGCCATAGAGTAAGCTCTCGTCAGGGTCGATCGTGGAAAGGTCATCGGCTCCAGCTTTGATGGCAGCAGCGGAGTCGGATATCAAATGATTCCCAACATGGGTGAAGGCGCCCTCCATGTTGGTGTTTTGTTTAAGTTGTTGGTGGCTCGTAGAGTTTTTCTGCACAAAGACTTATCAGCAGCTGAATGCCCCGCGTCAGGGCAAAGTAAGGGTAGCTGTGACGCAGTGGGCGATGGCAAGGTCCAATACGTTCCTCGACAGCGAGCGCGACTTACCTAGAGCTTTTATTCTTCCGGGAAGTGTCCGTATGGGAGGCCCAGGGTGGCTCGGATCGGATAGTAAAAGTGTTTGGAAGTTGCAAGTCGCTGGTAAGGCTCACATCATCGCGGGAACGAATGCGCCGGTACAAAGAATGGCCAGGCGGCGAGGTATATACTCGAAGTCAGGCGGGTTTGGCGAGTAGTAAGGATTGTCACAGAGCGCACGTCACAGAGTTTAGCGGCAAGAAATTATGCCTTTTGTTGAACAATTATATCCAGGTGAACGAACAGCTGGACCCTCTTTGCTAAGTGCAGTTGGTGGGACATTTTGCGCCCACGTGATGGTCGGTTTTCGTTATCAATGGATGTCCGCCTCGATAAGGAACTTTTTCTTGCTACTGACTTCTTGGGGGTAGCGTGCCTAAGATATCTAACTTAGAAATTTTATGCGTGTTGCAAAAGCTCAAGCATCACATTGTAAAAGCGGGCAGACGCCAAAACAATGATTGTAAGTTCTGATAGGACTATCTATGTTCTTTCTATGAATATTAACTCTATTGGCGTAGCGCAAACAAGCACGCCAAAGGCGCGATTACCTCTATCGACGTGCCCTTCTTCTGCGGGACGCTGAGATCAGCGAGAAACGAGCCAAATTGAGATCTTCTTTGGCTTCTGGCAAGCCTTTGGATCCTTCAATTGCCAACGACAAGTCACTTCGCAAAGACTACCAGTATGACGAATCGCGACCTGATCTCACCACCAACGAGCAGCTCGACCTGGACGACGAGTACGCTCAGCTTTCAGGCATTGTCGATCCTCGTGTTCTTGTGACGACTTCACGAGATCCCTCGGCTAGATTAGCAGCATTCGCCAAGGAGATCAGACTTCTACTTCCCACTGCCGTGCGCCTCAATCGCGGAAACCTCATCCTGCCCGATCTAGTACGCTCCGCTCAGTCAGCTGGCCTCTCCGACGTCGTCCTTCTCCACGAACACCGAGGCACCCCAACTGCTTTGACATTGTCGCATTTTCCGCACGGTCCAACAGTCTCATTCTCTCTTCACAACGTCGTTTTACGCCACGATATTCCTGGAAGCGTTCGAGGAACAGTGAGCGAATCGTATCCTCACCTCATATTCGATGGCTTTACGAGTCGCTTAGGTGAGCGTGTAGTGAAAGTACTGAAACATGTCTTTCCTCCCAGGGAAGCCATCACGAGCAAAAACAAGGTCGGCAACCGAGTCGTCACATTCAAGAACATCGAGGACAGCATTGAAGTTAGGCATCATGTTTTCGTGCGGACAGGATACGACAGCGTTGAGCTGGCTGAAGTCGGGCCACGGATGACAATGAGGGTATTCGAGATTCGGAACGGCACGCTTGACAACAAGGATGGCGACGTCGAATGGCACCTCACGCAATACACACGAACCGCCAAGAAGAAGAACTATTTATGAGAATGTCACACACGTCCCATAAGCATTCGATCCTATCGGAGATACCATGGTCACCTCTTGCCCGATCGAATTGAAACAGCTTCGTATCACAAGGCCTAGGCAGCCTCTGCACTACGGTCCGGGTAACTTGTTGAGTTGAAATATATCGTGACCAGGGACAACAAACGATCGCATAAAACACGTGATAAGATATTGGCGTTTTTGGAGTTTTTCGATGCAAAATTATGAGGCGGTGGTCTTGGGAAGATGGCGACTGTAGTGTTGGAAGAACTGACTTCGGCTACTAACAGTGGCAGATGTTTATTGGTTTATGGTGACCAGCATCAGCACTGAGGTGCGAAAGGTGACGAAAAAGACCCCAGGCAGATAAAGTCAAGCTGGGTCTTGTGGAGGCGAAATCCCCATGAAGCGAAACAGTTCTGTTTATTGTCCCGCAGCAGTTTCAAGTGGAGTCATGTCGGCTATCTATCGTCAAAACTACCTACCTATTTAGAACCAAGCCAGTGCCCTGGCGCTGTCAATAGCCTTTAACAATTCAGTCACCATTTCTTGACCATAAGGAAAGATCCGGAACAGAACACTGGCAATTTTCCATAAAATTAATCGTCCCTTGTGAGTTGTAAAGGGTATAAAATTGCTTAATAACGACATGTTGAGTGGCCTCGCCTGGTTCATTATAGCCTAGTCCTCTCCCCCGAATATTAGGTCCGGCGGACAAGGGAGATCAATGCTCAGCCTCAGTGGGCAGTTGGGGATTCGCATTCGCAGTTTGCACATAACCATAGCCTCAATAGCTGACGAGTAGTAATGGCTGGATGGCAGAGAGAGGGTCACCAACAAGACGAGACACCCAAAAGACCAGACCCTTGAGCTGGGTTTGTGTATTTCTGGAAACTTACCCATTGTTTCTTTTCCGTGTTTGGTTCGAATGAACACCCGCCACTTGCATACGCAGGCATCTAACGATTCTAGGTAGATCCGATACTGCCGGGGGGTTCAGTTTTAGGACCTTCATACATAAGCTGAATGAATTCCCTCTCGGTCAGCAATTGAAACCTGAACTTGAATGATTCATTCCGCCAGATATTAACGTCTAGTTGCCACATCAGCATTGATCAAGTTGGCGATCTCAATAAGCGAGGCTGTTTTCTGTTTGCTCATTTCTCTCGAGCCTGTTCAACCAGAAAAGATCAAGCTTTTCTAGACCCAAAAACCTGCCGGGGCACCTACGTCACGTTCGTACCCGTCCACTGAAGGACCCGTGCTCAAATCCACCAAAACTGCAAAAGTCCACAGGCGCCACTAAGTTCTGGCGCTCGGCCCCGGCCCATATTGTCCAATCCACGTTGATCTTAAGGCCAAGCCAAATTAAAGCTCGGTCGAGTAGCTTCATCTCATCATTTCTCACCACCACCACCAGCCGTTTATTAGTGCTTTTTGCTCCTCTCATCATCACCATCCATCCCCCGCCATTACTTCCTTGTTCGACTATAATTGATCACCATGTCCTACGATCAGTACAATCAGAATCCTTACCAGCAGGGCTCGGCTCAGGATAACTCCTATGGTTATGGTCAGGTACGCGCAGCCTTGCTGTCCCCTGTCCCTCATGAACTGACCACAATCATGCTGACCCGAACTCTTCAATTCACAGGCCAATCCTTATGCGCAAGACGCGCCAGCCCATGGTAATGACCAATATGAAATGCAGGATTATTCGCAACAGGCTACAGCTACTAGCTCAAGTCTTTCTCAGCAAGAATTCCTGAACCGTGTGCAGAAACTCCGCGATGAAATCAAGGGTCTGACCAACGACGTCGACTACATCGGCCAGCTCCACCAACGCACCCTCAGCAGTACCGACGGGTCCGCCAACCATGACCTCGAGCAGTATGTTTCTCAGACCCAGATCCGAAACACCGCTATCAAGGACGGCATCAAGGGACTCGAGCGCGATCTCGCAAAGACCAATGACAGCTCCCGTACCACAAAGAACACCCAGCTGCAATCCCTCAAGACCTTCTTTAAGTCAGAGCTCGACAAGTACCAGAGCATCGAGCGGGATTACCAGCAGCGCTATCGCGATCAGATTGCCCGTCAGTACCGTATCGTCAACCCCGATGCTTCCGAGCAAGAGGTTCAAGAAGCCGCCAGCGCCGACTGGGGCAACGAGGGTGTGTTCCAGACTGCTGTAAGTTATCCCCTCAGCGCCGACCAGCTACTGTCACGGGCATCATGGCTAATAAGAAACTCAGCTACGAACAAACCGTACCGGGCATGCAAGTTCCGTGCTCGGTAATGTTCGCGCTCGCCACAGTGAACTTCAGCGCATTGAGCAGACTCTTTCCGAGCTTGCCATCCTCTACCAGGAGCTCGCTACCATTGTCGAGCAGCAGGAGCCGGTCATCCAGGCAGCTGAAACTAATGCGATCAACACCGTCGATCACATGGAGAAGGGCAACGAGCAAGTCGAGGTGGCCAAGAAGCATGCCGCCAACCGTCGCAAGCTCAAGTGGTGGTGTGCCCTCGTCGTCCTGCTCATCATCATCGCTATTGCTGTGGGCGTCGGTGTTGGTGTTTCTGTGGCCAAAAACAACTAGAAGACGAAACGCGGATCATCCAGACTCCATTGCCGCTGTTATGATGCTGATGCTCTGCTTGTTTTGTTTCTTGTTTTTCCTTTCATAGATATCTCGACGACGCATTTGTGTTCCCCGTTTTTACGTTTTTACCCACAAGACCAGAGGATACGACACGTCTTTAATCTGTATACCGTCTCCCGTATTTAATCATTCTTCTTCCCTTTAGCACTGAAGCGTTAGGGGCCTTGTTGTTGGGGTCAGGGAGGAGAGGGTGGAGCTCACTCTGACTATTAATGAGAAACCCGGATTCATGTGAGCTTTAATCCTCAGATGGTATTTTTGCTTTGTTTCTGTCTGCTGGCGTTCTATCTTTTTTGCTTCTCTTGTACGATTACTGGTCCATCCAATTACAAGAGGAGAGGCAGACAGATGAGAGGAGTATAGCCATTATTGTATGTATATATGTATGTTGAAACACGATCCAGAAAACGTCATGGAGTGCTTGAGGCTATTGGAGTAGAGATTCCATGGTATTAATGACATGCCTTTGTAGGCTGTTCAATCATATCGGTCTTCATAGTGGTTTTGAGTACCAGATTCACAAACAAGTCATCGGACAGGCGTGACGAAAAAAATACGACTCATTTTCTTCTTCCAATGCACCGGTGCAACGATGTCCAAGCCTGCCTGAGTACCTGCCCTGCGTCCACCCTCAAAAATTCCCGATATGCGTAAGAGAAGCATAAGAGAAGCACTTATTATATACAGGTACAATTGGGTTCAACTGTGTGCATTATAGTTCCCAACTGCAGAGCATT